GTTTCCCTTCCTGCTCAGCACCAACCAGTTCTGCAGGCTAGGTGAGCTACCTTCTTCTGCCAGTTCCTAGAGCGAGAGAGAAGCTGAACCACAATTTCCTTTCCTGGAGGGCTTCCTGCCACCGGCTTTCTATGCCAAGCTTTAAATAGGCATAAACCTGGGGCAGATCTTGTGCATGAAACTATAAATATAAAGGATGCAAATTCTACTCAGTTACATAATGGTACATCAAGAACAGTTCTGCTTCAAGAAAGAATTTGTGGTTGTGTTGTAAAGAGTAAGATTTGCCATAACCCTGTCTGTATGTAAACAGCAAAATTACCCTGTGTCCCTGTGAACTAGCTTCTGTGATAGCTCCTCAGGAGAAAAAAATGACTCGTCTGGCATGTCTGTGCCTGACATATCCTCTTTGGAATATGGATATGAACCGACCATGATTAAAAAGTAAACCAAGATTTTTTCCAAGCAAGCCAGCATCCATGTATTCCTAACTCCTCCCTGGTTTCCTTTGGGAGTATATCCTTGCTCTATCTTCCCTCCAAAAACTACAGGGGAACTGTTCTGTCATTTGTGCCTGCCTGTGGGAAATTAGCATATTAAAACTCACTGACAACTCTTCTTTTGGAATGAGAAAGTGATTATTTATTTTAAACAACTTTCTAATTTGTTAACTCACCTCCTCTCCTACCCATGGACTCACAAGCACCAAGATGACATGAAGGACAAGGGACACCTACTGTCAAGTCTTCACAACATATCTTGGATTTCTCTTGACTGGTGTTGACAAACTAACTTGTGAGTAGGTCTTTTATATGCTTGAGGAATCAACAGTTACTATGAAATGATACTTTTGCTTCGGAATCTCACTTGCTTCAGCCCCATGAGCCTTAGACAAAGTTGTTGTCCCTTGTCTGATGTATTCATTTTGAGTATCTCTGTGGCTACAAATCTGCCTCCCTTGTGGGATGATAGGAGGAAGAATAACTGGTGCAGTGTGCTGTAACCTTGTTGCCATCCTCCTGTTATTAGAGCATAGATCTTCTGTGGACCAGCCATCTGAGCTGTGGCCCAGCACGGGCTATTTGATCTTGATGCCAATGTTCACCAGTTTTGTTGCTGTCAGTTGTGTCCTTTCTCATCACTATGAGTCATTCTAGAAACCCTAGCTCTACTGTTTTTTCTGTTGTTTCTGCTTTCACACAGATATACTTCATCCATATTAATCCTAATATATTTTTTACAAATCTCTAAGTGCTGGTCAGTTTGCTGCAATAAATTGCATTAACTTAAGGACAGTGACAGGGATCCACGTTCATATTTGGGTTGACATGGTCTTATGCAAGTTATCCAGAGCCAAATACTTGCCCTGGCAAAACAGTCAGATTTCTGACCTGGGAATTTCCCTTCTCCCCTGTTCCACCACCAGCCTGGCTCTTCAGCACAAGCAAGGTGAACAATTTTAGTCTGACTTTCTGCTTTTGAATAAGAGGCTGCTCTTTCCAGGCTTTAAAATAGGGAGAGCCATTTAAGAGATTTCAAAATGGAACTTATGAGTCTAAGTCATCAAGCATTTTTGAAAGATGTGGTCTGCATCTATATCACATTACTTCTCAGCTGCCTGGCTTTTCCTAGACCATCTGAAAATGGATCTATGCTGCTGTGTTCCAAAGAGGGTTTATTTTAATATTGTGTTAAAATACTGACAATCAAAACCTATTGCTTTAATTAGGTGGTAAGCACTGTCATCCTGGGTCTTAAGATCTCAAGTAAGCAGAGGTTGATTGCTGAGGTAAATTTTCACCATATTGGAGCTTGTAGGATTTATTTTACTCCAAATGCTATTGCGGTCTCCCTCAATGCCTTCCACATTTCACTGGACACATAACGCCAGGACAATGTCCTCTCTAGCAAATCAAAAGATTACAGTGTCTCTTCTGGAGACAGTTACTTCATGGGCCAAGGGGACAAGTTTAATCAGAATGAAATATCTTTAAGAGGAGCCAAGGCTTGTCTAGTTGAATCAGAAACTCTAGAACTTACTTTTTCATAGGGACATGGCCAAGCTCTATAGCTCCAAATAAAAGCATGACAGTTGATCTTCAGACCACTTTGCTAAAACACAGAAAACTCAGCAGTCTGCTGGCCACAGATCAAACTATAGGATCAAACTATAGGATGGTTCAAGCCTCATTCCAGCTTTCAGTGCTGAATTGCTGGGTAGTACAAGACTACAGTATACACGTCACCTCTCAGCTGCACAACATTCAGTATTAGGCAAGGGACAGGATTCTCCATCTTCGGGCTACTGGATGTCCCTGTAAAATCATTCGGTTTCCAGAAAAAGCAAGAGAAGTTCTGATTTTTGTAAGCAAGTAGTCTGGCCTCCCTTTCCATATCATGCACTGCCAGTCCCCCCCTGCTCAGCAAGCAACTGAAGATGCGAGGCTGTCCCCTGCTCTAAGCTACCCTGGTCCCACTTCAGTGCCTTAAGATAGTGTTTCAGGATGCTCTCAGGAGGTGGGGACCTTCAGCACAATCAGGCCTCCTCCATTGGCCATGCTCTACTGCAGGGAGAAGCTCAGGCAGGACAGAGGATGCTGGGACCTGCCAGGATGTTAACACGCTAAGTGCTTCTCTGCTTCTGGCTATCAGAGTGGCTCGTTGGGAATCTGCAGTGGCAGATCTGCCAGTAAAAATTAGAGAAACTGTTTTAGCCTGTGCCTTGGCCTACCAAACCAAATACAAAGACACACAGGTAACTGAAAGACAGCTATGGAAAGCCAGCTCTGCGTCCTGCTCCCTGACCCTATGGAAACACCAAGTGCTGGTTTGTGACACTTGCTGATCAGCAGCTGCATGCTGCTTTTCCTCTTAGGAAAAAAGAGACTAATTATGAACAAACTGCAAAATTACACTTTAAATGTTCTCTAGCAGAAAAAAAAAAAAGCAATTGGAAAGTAAATATTACAATGCATGTTTTAGAGACAGTGGTGGCTATGAGAGGGTAAGTATTGTTTCTAGAAGTCACATGGATTGGGAATGAGCAGATCTTGAACTTAATCGAGGAGATCAATACTCGATCTCTAAAATAGCAACCCTGGGCCTTGTTTCATATTGATCCTGGGCTCTCACAAAGATACTGTGGCTATGCTAAGTGGGTGTAAAATATTAGTATTATTCCTTACTAAAAATTATATAATCCCTTTGCATGGAAAATCATGAGAAAAAGCAGAAGGCAGCAGAGAAAGAGGTCTGAAGTTTTTCTTTCTGGGCAAAAGATAATCTGAGTGCTGCTTCAGCATAGACAGCGAGCCTTTGAAATGTCTGCCTGGCACAGGCCAGGGTCTGGTCCAGTGGTTCCCAGTCTTTTTATACCCAAGCTGCTCTCAAGAGAGTAAACAATATTTTAAAAGTCGCTGAACCTAACTGCTCACCTGCCTCAAGGCTGCCATTGCCTCCTCTCTGCTCACTGTGCTGCTGCTGGAGTGCCTTACAGCATGCAAGGCCTCATATTACACCTCTGTTCATGTAAAACTGTATGCCATGCCTGGTGTGTCCAGTTCAATTATGCTTCCAGGTACTCTCCTTATTAATGTGCAGAGCTCTCAAGTGGCATAGATGACGCAAGTTCAGTTGTTGTGAAAAGCTGCCAGACATTGACAAAAATATCTACCATATATCTAGCCATTTTTCTGCTCTTAATGTATTAGTAAGCCCTTTAAAACTAATTAAAATGAAAGTCTGATCTGTGAAGTTCCAAAAAAGCTAAAACAGCATCAGTGCAAAATGAGGAGAAATGAGCTGGACACTCTGGCCAAATGGAAGGACAGGAAAATGAAGTTGCTCATCCTTATTACAGAATGTGAGCACTGGGGCTTAAGCAAAAGAGACAGTGAAACGGTAGGGAGTAGTGGCCATTTTCCTTCCTCTTGTTCTTTAATGCATTACCTAAGCCCTTATCTTGCAGAAACAAATACAACTGTGCACCTGCAAAAGTGTTCAGAAGACCAGAGCCCTAGACTATCATGGACATAAGCTTCAGTCACTCCCTCCCCAAATAAATATGAAGTTTTGGAAGTCACCTCAGTGTAGAACATTAGCACTCAAGAACATATCGATGTCCCCAGTGCCTGGCAATTGTGAGACCAGGTGATCCAGCTTGCATGCCTTGCTCAGCAGGACTCCCACTGCAACCAGCAAAAATGTGCTTGAGGAACAGAAGCAGGAGCAAGCCCCTAGGCTACCTCTCACTTTAAAATGGCTTACCTCTGTGCTAACCAGCCAGGAGCTCACCTTTTAGAGGTACAGACATACTGCTAGCATTAGGGCTGCTGTTGTGAGAGGTGCCTTGGACTTCCTGTGTATATACAAAAAGAGAAATCACCACTTAAAGCCAACTCTCCCCAGATATTAACTATCCTGACATATGTTCAATGATCACACTGCCAAGGAAGTGACCGGAAAAGTTTTCATTGCTCGCTGGTGAGGTCCCTAACTGTTTTTACACCTTCTTCTCTAAATAAGGAAGTCATCTGTGAGACCTCCAACTAGCCAACCAATTTGATCCCTTTGCATTCGACAGCCAATGAAACTTCACTCCTGCCTCCGGTCTTGGATGACAGCATTCATCAAACCCCAGCCAGCCTGGGAGGACAGCAAGTTAGTGTTACAGCCATGGCAAGCTTACCTTTGGTGAGCTGTTGATGTCAGAGTGATGATATAGGGTGGGACAGCCCCCACACTATAAAGATGGGTCAATCAAATATAACTAAGGCTGCCCACCAGCAAGCAGGATCTGCAAAACATGGTCCCCACCAGTTTGAGTCCTGCTGGCCTGTCTCTGCTTGCAACCCAACTGTTATCAGGCTTTAATTTCATGTCAGCAATCTCTATTTGCTTTCCAAAAATAAGCCTCTGCCACCATGCTGAAGGAAGAAAAACAAGAAGGGCGATATTTTTAGGGCCATTAATTCTGACCACGTGCTCAGGAGGTGAACCGGATGGCCACTGCACAAAGACTTCTCATCACTATGTTCTGCGGAGCCAGCATTCACCGGACGTTGCTTGCTTTTGTTCTCCTGGGTTTTCTAGCTGGGATTGCTTCAACATATCCAGTTGTAAGCAGAACTAATGGCACATTGCTGGAAAGAGGATGGCAGTCTCTGTTGTCCAGGTCCATTGCTGGGAAGTCAGGGGAGAAGTCAGATGTGAACTGGGAGAGTGACTATTTGCTAGGAATCAAGAGGCAGCGAAGGCTTTACTGCAACGTGGGCATCGGGTTTCACCTTCAAATCCTCCCAGATGGAAGGATAAGCGGAGTTCACAATGAAAACCAATACAGTGAGTTACTTCCAGAAATGAAATAGAATAGATGTCACTGAATTGCTGTGAACTCTAGTAATTACCCTTCATAGAATGCAAATGTTATTACTTGATATTATTAATCTCTGCTACATCTGTTACCTTTTAGAAGTCTCCAGGATCAATAAATTTTAGAATCCTCCAGGCTGAAACATGTCACGAATGCTTGGACAAATTTAGATACCAATTTATTTTTACTCTGCTTAACTGCAGAGATGAGAAAAGATAAACCAGATTGCAAACTTTCTCTCTGCTGCATTTGCATTTGGTGCACTCCTCGCTTTATCATTTACCTTTTGAATTCTGGAGGCTCTCATTAAGCTGGCAGTGCAAAAGAGTGATTTTTGAATTCTAGCCTACTAGTACTTTGGGGACACTCCATAACCAAAGGGGCTTGCTGTTCCTGGTTTGCTTGTTCTGAGGGTGCTATTCTGTAAGATTAAAAGAAAAGCATTAACCATATGGTTTTGAATTTCCTCTAGGGGGCAATTTATAAAATCTTTTGCAGCTAAGAAATCATAGGAGACTTCAAAATGCAAGGCATGCTTCTCTAGAGCTCAATAACAAACACTCTGTAATTATAACATACCAGATGATAGGAATTATTTCTATACCAGAGAGCCCAGCAGTATTTGATAGATCTGAGAGCAAAAGGATCCATAGCATGTCAATACGATTCCAGATAAGTTATTCTAAAATCCTATGGTGTGCAGGAAAAAATAGGAACTTTTCTATGGACTAGGGAGAGAATTCTAATAAATAAAATATGATATATTAGGGTTTTAAAATACAATGTATAAAAGGTTTTAAAATAAATCAATTATATGTGAAATGCCTTTGCTTAGCTGTAAATTCTACAACAACACTTCCTTTGAACTTCTTGCTCTTTTAGGTCTCTTTGAAATATCCACTGTAGAGAGAGGTGTTGTTAGCCTGTTTGGTGTGAAAAGTGCTCTCTTCATTGCAATGAACAACAAAGGCAAGCTATACGGAACGGTGAGTACAAATGCAAATAGTTTGTCAAGGCTTTAACAAGGGTTACAAAGGTTCTGAGTATTTTTTTTCTCTCTCCTGGAAATCTCTTATTTCAAGCAGAGAAAATAGCCATTCACTTACAGTGAGCCTGCCCAACCTGCTGTCATCAGTGCTATTCAATGCAGCAAGTGGCACAGCTGTTAGAGGTCTGTTATTGTAAGGCTTTCCAAGAAGATGGTATTGGGAGCAGCCTTGAAATATGGATGTATTGTGCAAATAGGACAGATTAATTAGACAACTTTTCTCATCTTCAAAGGGCTCACTGCTGCAAACACACTCTAGTAAGGCTGCATCTTGTTGATGCCAACATTATATTATACATGAAGGGAAGTGATGTGCTCTGTAAAAGACCCTAAGATGCAAATTGTGGGGGGGTGGGTGGGGGGGAGGGATGAACATGCACGTGTGTGGGAGAGGTGCAGTTAGAGCTCTTTGTGCTAGCTTCCATTAATAAAATCATGATCACATGCCTCCCCCAACCAAAAACAAGTGCACCATGAGGAATAAATAAGAAGCGCGGCTTACAATGTCCACATATGTGCAGGAGGATATTTTAAGGGTCAACTCTCAAAGACTGAAAAACCAGTAATAGCTACTAACAACAGTATCCAAGTGATACCAAAACATCATCACCATCATCCTCATCTAGAAAGTGCTAGCTATGCTGCCTGAATGCAATTTAATCTCCAAGTCCCGAGCAATGCATCTTGTCTCAATGTTCAGTAGAAAAGGTGCTTGTTCAGAAGTGAATTTGAAAGGGGCGGGCTCTGGCAATAAGCAAAAACAGTCTATATCAAAATAATGAACAGAACTGACTGCATTCATCTTTTTTTGTCAAGAAACAACTAAGTCATTTCTTTTGAAACAGCTGTAATGTCAGCAAAACGTTTCAGTTTCTTAATAAAATACTGAGTGTTGTGAAGAACTTGTAACCATTACTGGTCTGACTGATTCCTACTCACACAGATGATGAAAATAGAACATTTTAAGGCTTCAGTCTAGGAGCATTCTTTCATTTATACCTAATTTCAAGAACCTGAAAAGTGCTACAAACCCAAATGCTTTGCTTGACTTGGTCTTTCTAAAGAAATGTGGGATCTGGCCCCTGAGCTCCCTTTGAATTTTTTTTCTCAGTTTCTATTCATTCTTGCTTATTTTTAAAGAAATTTTAGAAAGCTGTAATAGATGCTCATTTTCCCTTATGCAATGCAATATCATAAGTTAAACTCTTATAAACATTGAATGAGTGTCTTAGAAAGATGTCCAAACACAACAGCTCTGGTGGCACTCATATGCCAGGCCTCTGATGCCAGGGGATAACTCTGATGTCTCTTTTAATGTAATAAAAGCAGCCCCTTTCATCAGTGCTCTGCATTTCTCTCCTCTTTGGCCTTGCATCTCCTCTCCCAGTTCGATCCTTCTCCATAAATTTAAATAACGTGACATGTAGAAAAATGCAGCTGTTTTCCTGGCTTAGAACCTGCTGCATCTCTCTCTCTGACAGTCTAATAAAATATCTCACTAACGGTTAAATAAAAGAAAAGATGTCATACTAATACGAGGTCTTATTCTTGTTCAAAAGTGTTGTTCAAGCAGGTAGTTCTCCCTGAATGTTGTTTGGAAGAGAACTGAAGGTTTTGACAGCAAGCATATAATTCTTTTATAAACTGCAGGACTATCTTCTAGAGGGGAGCTGTGAAATAAACCTGTACCATTTGGACAAAAGGGCATGACGCTGACATAAATCATTGTTTTCAAAGAAAATGGAGAAATACCTGATTCATGATGAATTAACTTGCTCTGTCACAGGAAGTGCACAGTTCATTATCTGGACAGGTGACATCTGAGTTCATCTGACACCAAATTAGCACTGAGGAAGGAGATTTATTGTTGGACACAGATACTGCAGCACCACCTGTTACCCTCCTATAAGAGGTTCTTCTTCTGTAAATATATTAGTAAGAAAGGTTTCTTGAATCTTACTGAAATATTTATCATACCTGATTTATTCTTTTTTTCCCTCTCTCTATTCTGCAGGCTGTTTTTCACGACGAATGCAAATTCAAGGAAACCTTGCTGCCCAATAACTACAACGCATATGAATCAAACGCTTACCACGGCTCTTACATAGCACTCAGCAAACATGGGAGAGTGAAGAGAGGAAACAAGGTTTCTCCTGCCATGACAGTAACCCACTTTTTGCCCAGAATGTGAACAAGAGCAAAACAAAAGATAAACTCCAGGAAAAACTGTTCCATTTTGCACATGGGAAAAATCTCCCAGGTAAAGTATTTATACTATTCATTGAAAAAAAAAATATATATATATATGTATAATGTATGTGTATATTTGGATAAGAATATTTGTACTAGATCCATCGCATAGCAAATGCAATACTGTGCTACTTATCTTCTACTCAGTACAAATTTTATATGGCTGTGTGCCTTCTTTGGTGCTGAACTGATAAAAACGCAAGCTGAAATGCAAAGGGAAAAAAGTATTTGGAAGATGTCAAATGGCTGTTGATAATTATCTAATCAATCATTGATTATTTACTAAATAATATTAATTACCTCAGACAATAATCCTACATAGAGAGCTGTTTACATATCATGGGCCAAATCTTCAGATGACTTTACCTCAGTGGAGCTTCCAGCGGTTCACCCCAGCTGAGAATCTGCCTGCACCCCGCTAAGCTACTCACACAGACTTGTGCCTTGTCTCCTAAAGGCTTCAGTTTTTTTTGATCATTAGCATACCACTTCTATCACCATTTCCACATGGGCAAAGTGTCCTTCTCCCAGAGCCCCTCTAGCTCTGGTGGAATTCTGCAGGATTTCCTCACATGGAATTATTGGCATAAATATATATATATATACACACACACACATACATATGCGCGTGCGCACACACACACACACACACACACACACACAGAGTGTGTGTTTATCTGTGTACGTACATATCTTAAGTGCATCAGTCATCCCAGTCTCTAAATGCCCAAGTGCCTTTATATACAGACAGACATAAAGGAACATAAGTAGTTAAAAGCAATATATTTCATTTCAGCTGAACCTTATTAATCTCCAGGAACTAGAACTGGTCTGCAGGATGCAATTTGTGAAATGCATGGAATTCATGAAAGCTTCAGCAAAGGGTTATTTTAGAAAACTTCTCTGTTTTGAGTACTTCTATTTACTGCTTTAAGACTATTTATTTCTCCTGTATTGTAACTCACTGAGGTATGAGCGACAGAGAAAGAAGGAGGCTGTATAAGCATGCCTTCCCTGGGTTGGTGTAGTGAAATTTATACCATAGTTCTTATTTCTATCACTTGCAAAGCATCAGTTCCAAGGAAATACAGCATACCATGTGCAATATTACCTGGATCTCTCCCAAAAGCCATACAAATGGCATAACTCCTTTGCCTTACTGTTTTGAAAACCTTCTTCCAGATCATCAGTGAAGCTACATTCTCTGTGCCTTTGGAAGAGTGTTTTAGGAGGCCCCAAGTCAATAGTAGCTATAAATGTCAGTTGCCAGAAGCCTTGGGATTCCTGCATTGGTGGTGTGTTCCTAAATTTAAAACTAGATTTGACACAATGTCAGAGCATGAGCATTTTCAGCATAGATGGGCCATGCTGCTGCAGAAGTGCAGAAGATCTGAGTGCAAGATAATCTCTCCTGTCCAGCCAAAGTGTGACTGTGTCCAGCCTTGACATGCCATTCTATTTGTGGGGGGGGGGTCTATTTGCAACAAGCCTGAGCCTTCTGACGTGCGTGACAAACAGTGTGAGGGTCAGATCCTCAGCTGGGGTAAACCAGCCTAGTAAGACCATGTCACTTTATAGCTGCAGAAGATTTGTCCCAAAGAGTGTACCTACAGGGATGTATCTACACCCACACTTTTTGAATAATCAAGACATCATTGTTTTGCAAACAAGATGCATTTTTCCACTTTTATGTGATTTATACTTGAATTTATTTTCCTCAAATATAAGTAGTGATCACTGTGAAAGCAAAAAGAAGAAAGAATGGAATACTGCTTACTGTACGTGAACTGGGCACTTCGGGTATGGCAAAGACAAAGAGTAACTCCTAGTTCTCTGGTCCTGTAGCACAGAGGGAGAAATGAAGTTGACATACTTTGTCTGTCCACAATATGTGCAGCTATTTGCTTCAGAAAGAATTGCATTTTAAGGGTAAAGGCACAATGTTTTGATTGGGGGGAGAGTGGATCAGAGGGAAGTTTAGAGGTTATCAGACAGTTACATTGACCTAAATCCCCTAGCAGTGTAGACAGGCAGACCAGACCTGTGCTGAAATACATTAGCTGGTAATCTGTAGCCTTGTGTTATATTCCTAATTGTCTTTGAAATGAGGTCTGAAGAAGGATAGAAGAATATGTGGGCATAGAAGAAATAATGATTTGAATGCTGACACACAAGTTTGTTTCTGATTACAGCTTACACCAATGTCATTAGGTTAGGATGAACTCTGTTCTCTCTTAAAGCAGTGTGATCTGAAAAAATTTACTGTTGCCAGTACTGATAAACAATGTGATAGTCAACATAAAATATAAGAATCAGACCCACTGACTTCATTTTGCACATGCTGGTTGACAGCAACAAAAAATGTAGCCCAGGTTACAAGAAGTCTGATTTGATGTAGCCTGTTGGGCTGAACTTGTAAAGAACTGCAGACTCCTATGGATGCAGTTTTAGTGGGTGTTTGGAAAGCTCTGCCAATCATTCTGCTAAGTTACTCTTCATACCAATGCTTTTTCCATATTACATGTCAAGATCATGCCAACCAACACTGAAATCCAAAAAAGGTCCTGCAATGACAGGAGTCCTGATTAATATAAGAATGAATGACACTGTTGTCAGGAGTGACAATGGATGATGCCATTGTCA